TTGAGGTTCCAAAGTCATATATGCTTTTGCACAATTCATCATTGCTCATACACTAACTTTATGGACCCAATTTGGGTTGATGGTAGATCGAAATACATAGAGTAAGTATGGATGACAAAATTAGTAATCCCAAGTTCATTGGTGGGTTCGAGCTCATTTTTCCGACTTGTTTAGAAGATTGATTACATGAGCTAGGTTTAAGTCTCACTTTTTTTTTTGTCAAAGGTCTTCCATTGTTGTAAACACAATTTTTACATTTGCGTTTACTTTAGAAAAGCACATTTATTTAATATAAAACATTTTCAGTTTGTTTTTTTTGTTTGAATATACACATGAAGTATAAACGTAAATGCGAATGCGAATACATAATCGGATCGGAGTTTGGTCGTATTCATGATTTTTCTTTGTCTTTTAAAAATCAATAACTATGAATGGGCCACACAAAAAAAAAAAATTTGGTTGGGGTAAATATTTTTTTTAACGTGTTTTTGGAAGAATTTGTTTTGTAATCAAACGGTGTTTCGATAGCCATATTTTCTGTATATATACTGCCACTGAGGTAGGGTATTCTACAAACAGTCATCCATATATATATCTATCGTTCGTTTTGCCAAAGTAATTTGGATGGCGATTCTCGAATTTTTGAATATAGAGAAACACAAAAATTGTACAACATCATAATACATGTTTGGTATGGCGGTCCAAAATTACATTAGGGGTCCTAAGGCAATATTTTCTATGGTTCTTCAATAAAACCATTTTTAGTTTTATTTTTTGGGTATTACTTTTGAAATCCATAATTAGGAAACTAACATATCCAAAATTATATTTAGGTAACTAGGAGAGAGAATTAAAAATATGACAAAATCGCCCTTACAACTATAATTAAAGTAAAACATATATATAAAATATTCCTAAAAATATTCTCTTTACTTCATTCATGGAAAAATTGTTCCTGCGATTGCATCTCAGCCAAAAGTAGATTGCAATTGTTCTGAAAAAAAAAGAGAATTGGATCAGAAGATGACAAACAAAAAAAAAGCTCTAACAGTTAACTATGTAATAACATAGTTAACTATTTCTGAAACATCTCAGAACATAGTTAACTACGCAACATTATTTGTAATTATATAAAACATAGTTAACTATTTTAAAACCAATTTAAAAACATAGTTAACTACTTTCAGAGCATAGTTATCGACTCTACTGATTTTTGGATATGGTTGACTACATGAAATGTTGTTATAATAGTTAGTTATTTAAACAAACATAGTTAACTAGTTCAAAACGTACATAGTTGAGTATTATCAAAAACATAGTTGATTATTATCAGAAACATAGTTGACTATTATCATAAACATATTTGACTATTATCAGAAACATAGTTACCTACTATAATAAAAATATATATAGTAAACTATTATGAGAAACATAGTTACCTTTTAGACATAGTTAACTATGTCGATATTCGTCAACGATTTAGTTTAATCAAGAGATGATGACGATGCAGAAATTAACGGAGGAGGAGAAACACCATCTTAATTCATGATTGAAGATTTTGATCCATAACAACGAGTTAAGGCAACATAATTAAGAGAAGAGAAGAAAAAGTGAATTGTGAAATTGAATATTGAGAAGAAAATAAGGAGAATATGGAGAAAAGAGAGAAAGATGAGAGAAGAAGATGGAGGAGGCAGCGGCGATGACGAAAAGAGAAGGCGGCGACGGGCGGAAGAGTAGGCGGCGGCAAGATGAGAAAATAAGAAGAAGAAGAAGTGGTGATGGAGGAAGAAGGAAAAACCAAAAAAAAGTGGCGATGAAAAAAAAAAAAAGAGGAGAATAGAAATTATGGTTTTAGTTTTATTGTTTTTCATTAAGGGTAAAAATGAAAAATCAAGTCAAAAATTGTTAGACACCTAATTATATTTTAGATCATGTTAGATAATCAATTATATATAGCAAACCTAATATACATGCCTATTTCTCTTATTTTTTTTAGATCTTGTTTTGAAAAGCCTTTTAAGCAATTTTTTAAATTGCAGTACATTAGCATTCTTCAATTGTCTTAAAATTTTTATTTTAGATCTTATTTTAGAGTTTTGGCCTTCTTTTGGGTTCCAAGCAAATGTTTTTTTAGATAGTTTAAGTGTCTTTTCAGAATGTGTCAAAGTGTGTCAATAGATTAGTCTTTCTCATTGCACAAAACGTTACAAGAGATTATCGATCTAAGTCTTATGTTGCTTCGAGTTATCTCGAAGGCTCAAAATTAAATTGAAAAGTTTTTTTTTAGTGAAAAATTATTTTCCTCTATTTAGGTCTTTGATGGATCATCTGTTTTGAGCTATATTCTTTTGTTTTTTTGGCTATGTAGGTTGGTTGTCTTGTTGACAAAGCAGATATTCGGTTACTAATTAACTTTGTCAGGTTATTGTAATGGAATTTTGTTCCATATTTCAATATAATTGGAACAAATGACAAAAAAAAATCTTGTTTTAAAAAGAAAACTAAAGGCTTTGTAGCGTGATTATTTTTTTAATTGATTCGTTATCAGCACCAAATATATGCCCATATATGGTTGATATTACTTTGTTTTTTCCTAGTTTCTTACGCAAATCCATATGCTAAATGAACCTTTGGGACCTTTGAGAAAAATAGCTGAGTTTGGTTAGCATATTTATTTTTGCAGGGGCACAAAAGTTCTCAAAAGATGGATATGAAGAGCATTTGCAAGTGAACCATTTAGCTCCATCTCTGCTTTCACTACTCCTATTGCCTTCGCTCATCCGTGCTTCCGGAAGTCGAATCATTAATGTCAATTCTGTTGTGAGTATCATCGATCAT